TTGATATTAGCACAGCGTTGCAGAATCGAAGCGTATTAAGATTCCATTTTCTTTTGGAAGATAACTTGATTGCGTTATTCTACTCCCTGTTCTCTTAGACTAATATTATATTTATCCGTTTTTTTATCATACGACAAATTATTCAAGTCTGTTAATTGACTGTAAGAGAGATTCTCACACCTCTCCATGCTGTAAACAATCGACAATCTTAAAAAATTTTTCGTACGACAAAAATGGATAAATGTAATATTAACCTCAGCCTCACTGTTTTTAAATATTTCTTTTTTCTGTGTCATTCGTTTTATCTTTCTTCGTCTGGCAGGAGGGACCTAAGCAATTGGTCTAACAACACGATTCACAATTTAATTAATCGTATACCGTCGCATCTGCACAATTGCCTAGGTCCGCGGACATTGGCATTTCGTTACAATTATACAGCTAAATAGATCCTATATAAATACCTATTATGCATTCATATAATACATACCTAATATGCAATTGTTAGAAGTGTTAGAAGTCGATCATCGCACGAATTTATGTAACTTAATTACATACACGTACACACCATTTCTTGTATCGTTCACTCTTTACGGAATTATACGTTTTTCATGGTGGAATATATTTTGTATCTATCGTTATTCTTTGTGGATTCTTTGTGAAAAGTGCTGAAATTGCTTGTTTGCCAATGAAGTGTATATGCAAGTACTCGTGCACTCTGTGTGTATGTGTGTGTGTGTGTGTATGTGTGTGTGCGCGCGCGCGCACGCGCGCTTCTTGCAATCTATAAAAGCTTTTGTGTATGATTGTATGCGCACTTTTCATCATACAAATCCATGAAAGAAAATGTAATGTATATTGAATTTATATTAAAATGTACATTATACATTTTAATATGTATTAATATGATTTCGTATTCTCTCGATTAGAGCATCCTTTTTGTTCTCTCTCTCACCTATGTTATATATATATATATATATACATACACATACACACACATATATATACATATATATATATATATATATATATACACATATATATACACACATGTGTGTGAGTGTGTATCATTACTTTTAATAGAAATATGGTTGTTTTTAAATGAATATATGATATCGCGTGGTGCAGACAGTAATATAAATATTCGAATAAAAGATGTAAATATTTTCACATCCTTATTCTTTTATGTATACATTTTGTTCAACTTAAGAATTTATTACCACAGTAACAAATCGCACTCTTGAACAAACATAATGGAGTCGCTTGCAGCAACATTTTATCTACATCCAATTTGCGATATTTCTTCGACAAGTATATTCACCAAAAGTACAGCGACTTCGAGATTTTTTTCGGTAAAATCGCGCGACGAGAGATGTACATACTGCCTACATAGATACAATAGATCTTAATTTTTACCTTTTTTCCTCGCGACAATCCGCACGTTTTTCTTCTTACTTACCCGTGATATAATCGTTAATATAACAACTATTTATTCATAAATTCTGAACGATCAAATTCAATTGTAACGTGATCTACACTACAGTCCATTTCCTCTTCAAGATTTTCGTTTGTTTAACTCATACATATGAGATGCAAAATGCGTGTGATTATCCCAGATTGAAAAGATTGAAAAGATGTACGAAAAAAAATTAGTGAAAAACTAAACAAATCATGTGTTTATGGAAAGCCAGGAAATGAACGGTAGTACTCATAACGTTAATCGATGGCAACTCGAGTTCACCTAAAAAGATATCGCTCGATAATCATTATACTCTCGATTTTCCGTTGTTGCGTATTTTTGTCCTTTTCTTTTTTTGTGTTATCCCGTTAGTCGCACGAGCGGCAGTGACTCATTTTCCCTCTGCGCGCGCGCGCGCGTACACACACATACTCCACACACACGCGCGCGCGGGTGCGCGCGAACGCGCACACACGCACATGCATACACACGCAACACACGCATCGTCATCATCATCTACCCCTTTTTCATCTCGTCTTCTTCATCTTTCCTCGTCTTCACGTGCAAACAATATGCGTAATAACGTCACAAATCCGTTTTTCGTTTTCTTCTTTTCTTTTTATCAAGTCTGCGATTATATGAATATACTCAACAATCAGTTGATACCCTCTGCAATATAATGGTCATATTTCAGGCGAGTTTTGGTGTTTGCGCTTAATGGCAAGTATGACGATGTGTGTTGATGATGATAATGACCTGGCGATGGTGACATTATCTCAGGTGAGGTGACGATGACGATAAATGGTGTCTCGATGATGTAACAATGATTATACCGATGATAATTCTGATGACCATGTCGATGTCATAGCCGATGAATAATGACGATGACGACGTTGGCATAGACTCTGACAAGTTTCGTTACTTCGCTTAATGACTTGAAAACGAGTTTACGAGTTATAATTCCCAAATGTTCGAGTTAAGTTAAAGCCTTTTTCACTTGATTAAGGGAGAGTCTAAATTTGGATTGGGATTAGGCTGCGTATTCGAGGATGGCGATGGTACCTGTGCCACCACCGAGCCTTTCCCCTCAGATAATACATTTCCTCCTCCGCCACCGCTGCTGCTGCTGCTGACACCACCGCCACCTTCTTTCATTTTCTCGCAATAATCTGCAAAGATATCACGGAAACGTGCCCAGGATTTTTCTGGTACGGTAATGGCTGTCCTAAAGTTCGTCTTCACCTATAAGAAAATAATTTATACATTTTTTTTACCGTCGCATGTTATATTTATTAAAAACCTTATTAATTTTGCTTTCTTTTTATTTTGCTGGCATTAAAAAAAAATAACAAATGTAATTTTTTTTATTAATATAAATATAAACTTAAATATTTTTTTAAGTATCTACTCAAACCAAAAAGATTTCATTTTTATTTCTAGTATTTTTAATTAAATGTATTACTTTTTAATAAGAGCATTTATAATCTTTAAAGGGCTGTAGGTCTTTTTCTTACAAAAATTTTGCTGTAAAAAAATAATATAATCAACATTTATTATACAAAATATGACACTGACTTTCAAATGATATATCGTCTCGCAACCCTTAACTTCTATATTAGTTGCAATTGATCACAAGTTGATTGCAACAAGTTCGCAATCGTTTGTGACTAATATAGAATCATAATTACGGATAGGATTTTTTTTTCTTTTATGTTAAATCAATGTATAAATAGTGTTCATAGATTTATGAAAAAAAGATTTCTTTAAAAAGATAGAGTAATTTCAGTATATAATGATACACCTAATAAAAATTTAATTTAGCAAGTATTATTTACTATGCTTAAGGTAAATAAATTACACCAAAAATCTATCTACTATTATGAAAAAAATATTAAGAAATAGAGGCCTCGGTGATCTAAAGACTTAAGATGCTTGCACGGAATACTAGAGATCCGGGTTCGATCCCTAGCCGAGGTAATATTTTTCGCAATATAATTATTTATAGATTTTAATTTGTTATCCAGCATTATTACGATCTTTACAAGATAATATGAGCATCAAATTAGTAAATTACTAAGCAATTTAATTTGTGATATTACTATTGTAGTTGCAATTGGTTGGCGTTTCAAGACCGAAAAATTAATTCGGCGCGCAATTTAAATAACTACATAGGTAGTATATAAATTCACATAGAATTATTTATGCACTTAAGATTCAGGTTAAAAGCCGTTAAAGACTTTCTTTTCTTTCTTATTGTGTGTTCACATGTATGAACCTAGAAACTCTTGTTTAATAATATTAAATTAGTAATATTCTTCGCAATAATCAGTAATTAAAATTTTGATAGAAATCCTCTGATTGTGAATCTCAATAAATTAAATGTCTGATAATATCATGTTTTCTACGTTTTATATTCTAGATAAATATCTTAAAAAAAGGAATCCTTTTCCCATAATTTCACGTCAAGATGACCACCGACCAATTCAAGCAGATTTTTTTTTGACAAAACAAAGATTATAAACAATAAAAAGAAAAAAATATACATATAACAAGAAACAGGTAATAATTTCAAACAATTTATCTATTCGTTTCTTAGAAAAATAATATATAATAAGACTTTATGTATACCTCAGAAATTCTCATATAGATGCCACGATTATTCTGGCCGATATCAAAATAGAAATTCTTGCTATCCACGCGCATATAACGACCTTCCGGTAAATCACCTTTGAAGCCACCATCATCTGTCCCAAATTCCTCAAGAAGATCCGTTAATGCGTCACGAAACTCTATCATACCTTGCGCTGGTATTGCAATCTGAGTCCTAGGTCCACCTCGTGTTATCGTTTGCGACACCTGAGAAAAGTAACATAAATATTACACAAAATCTTCTGTTCTAATTCATTGTATTGTTTGGATTCATAAGACAAGATTATCGTTATATTAGATAACCCATTTTATCAACAATTTTAGAAGAACTCTATTTATCTTTTCATTTTTCAAAAAAAGCAGACCTCTTGAGATGAAAGCCGACAGAGTCTTCTTATGACTTAGCGTAGAAAGTAAGTACATTGGCTGGTACATACAGGGTGACTCACCCGCAGGAAACGGCCGCGAGAATTCTCCTTGAGGTCCAAGTAATATCGTCTATTATCCTTCACCATCATTTCTGATTTGAGTTTTCCATCGTCTGGCACATTTTCCGGATTTGGTGGACCTAATTATCCGGCAAGCAAAGATGTTAATGAATTAAACATCTTTTTCAAACATAAAAACTCAATACTTGATGAAAATTATTATAAACAGAAAAAAGGATTAATTTTATAATATATCGATATTTTCAATATATGTTAAATTATAAAATCTTAATACGATATTTTATAGAATGAAGCGTGATTTGTGATTCAATTAAAAAGGGATGATTCTTCATATAAAAATTAATTAAAAATATGAAATAAATGTAATAGACAAATATAACATTCATTCCATTGTCGACTATTTCGCGTTAATATTTGCAAACACTGTTAAAACATCATTATTTTTTATTTATTCTATTATTTTGTTTTTTCCTTTCAGTCTCTATCGAATTACCACAATGACACAATATAATGACAGAACATATTATAATACTAATGTATTGCTTTTTTTTTTGCTTCAAGAAAATATTATTAATAAGAAAAGGTACCTTTTTCCGATTTTGAGTATCCGAACTTTGAATATGTTGTTTTCTTATAGATAAAAATAACGGACATATTTTTGTTATTCATGCATGTTCGCATTTTTAAAGAATAAAACACACCTTATAAAAAAATCGAATATTCTATTTCTAAATAAATATCATGTTATTTTCTAATCGTTGTCCTGATAAACGTAATCATACAAATACTAATTAAAATTATTTTTATTGCTTTTTTATCATATGATAAAAATTGTGGTCGTTGCCAATATTAAAAGAAGCAATTTTTTAAGAGATAAATACAATTTTTTAATATTCAAATATTTTAGCTCCAGATATAATGTCAGACTATGAGAACTATTCTGCATAATAATTATATATGTCACAGTCTTTTATAAGTGAATAAAATAAATATAAAATAAATATAATTGTATATGTATTCGATGGATTTTCAAAATTATTTTTCTTTCAAACAAAGCTTTATACAAAATAATTTTATTTCATATTTTCAATTTATTTTTATATGTATAAGACGTTAACTCTTTATATCATGAGTTATGCCTCATGTATACAATATGTCCCATATTAATTCTTTTATCTTTGCAAAGTAAGATTGAATTTAAAAAATACGCTCAGATAAAAGTTATATACCCTGATGTATAAATATGACAATCAATTTTCGGAAAAAAATTTTCGCGATCATGTAAAGATTATGGTCATTTAAAAAAATGGAATTGTATGATTTTGTTTATATAATTTCTCTAATTATTCTGCATATGAAAGTAATATAAGTATTAAGTTGGGAATATCAAAAATCAATATAATTTATAAAATTATATTTTATGTCTAGATGTACCAGAAAAAAGATATATAGTAAATAATTGATTTTAGATATCTCTTAATATTTTAATATGTAAAGTAATTAATAATCACATTTCAAAAATCGAGTTAAAAATTATACAATTCTATTTTAAAAAATAAACATAATATTTATATGATCATGAAAAATCAATTTTTTTGGAAAGTTAATTTTGCTATATTTGTGCCCTGTGAGGCAACATACAACTTTTATCTAAATATATACATACTTTTAATTCGATTTACTCTGCAAAGATAAAAATAGTAATAAATTAAAACGGAATTGTATATTAGACATAGCTAATACAATTTTAAATTGTATTATTATGATTTTAATTAAAGATGTTGTACCTAAAGATGCGTAAAAATCGCTAAATGTCGACAGATGGTCCCGAAATTCGGATGCTGTACTGAGTGCCAGGTAAATTTGGCTTCTTCTCCCATCCGCTCCAATCTGAAATAAAAAACAATTTCATAAATTTATATAACTCATTTTACATGATCAAAAAGTAAAATTTTACATATAGATTAGTATTATTATCTGATTATATGTTAATTTCAACGAAAGTATGTTTGGAAAAAATATTTGCTGAAAATATTATTGTACACTCCATAAATATTATAAATATAATTTTTATCAAACGTAATTTTTATCGTCACAGATTTTAAATAACTTGTAAATTAATTATCATTTTAAGACATCCTGATATCAAAATGTCAAGGCTACAATAATTTTTAAATGAGAAGAGTTTAAAGTTAGTCCATAGAACTGTTGGAAATTTGCGCGCTTAAGCATGACACATTAAACAATAATAATATTAATAAAGCTCTCTTCAAGTATCAATCCTTTTTTATCGAATTGATATTCTTGTGTATATGTCGTTATTTCTTATTCGTATTGTATTTATACATAAATTATTAATTAATAAAAAAAATTAAGAGATAAGTATTGACTTTAAAATGCGATACGCATCGAACTGTCACAAAATAATATGATAATATGGTAAAAAATGGTTATAAGGTAAAAAAACATTTATAGATGGTAAAAATGTACAGATTAATATATGAACTATAATATTACTTCGATCTTTTATTCATAATAAAAATAGAATAATGCATGATTAAATAGGCGTTCTTTATATTAATTTATCCAAAATCCATTTAAAGATCACTATATTAATGTATCGTTTGAAAAAATGCGATAAATGTAACATATAAGTTAATTAATAATAATTAATTCAGTGCTAATAATAAACATCATAAAAATAAATAATTTTACAATGCTTATTAATGAAAAAGTTTGAATGCAATAGAAAATAAACTGCAATAAGAAAGAAATCATATGTAAATCATATGTGACATCATATATCAGCTATCCAAGCCAGAACAGTATATATACTGAGAGTTTTTATTAGTGAAATGTTTATTTATAATAATACCTCCATAAGGTTTTTTCCATCTTTTCCACAGAATCGCAATTTCTCCTTATTTTAGTCCGTAATAAGTTATGAGATTGCAGATTAATTTCAAAATAACAAAGATTGTAAGATGTATGTAGAGCTATCTGTAAGAGCACAAGCTGCTACTTCTTTTCGGTTCCCTCAATTTATTCTAATTGTAAGGCCCCCCCCCTCCCCCCAGACACAATACGGGAGATTAGCGATAGCGATAGGAATAACACGATTTTAACCTATCAGAATCTGTGTATTCCTATGTATCTGATTTCTGATAGGTTGAAATCGTGTTATTGCTATTGCTATTCCCTCGTATTATGTCTGAGGCTTAAGAGTCTCGACACAACAAAATAGAAACCGGTCTCTTGAAATGAGCACAATACACTCCAGCAGTCAGCCCTTCGCTACCTGCTCCATTTTCGTTGTGCACAACGCGCGTCTCGAAAACGACCATTATCTCCAAATCATTTTTTAAACCACTTTAAAGATTAGTTCTACACACATGTAGAATTAAAAAAATGCAATTAAAAATTTTTTCCCTTTAAAGGGGAATTTTTAACTTATTCAAATTACCTCGCTTTACCCTACTTTATGTGACAGCTTTGACATAATTCGATACATATCACATTTTAAAGTCAATACTTATCTTTTAATTTGCTGTTATCATCTATAATTAATAGTTTACGTATAAATACCATAAAAATAAGAAGCAACTACGTATGCACAAGAATATCCATTTTGTGTTTTAATAATTCTAATCGATTTTCATTAATATTGAACATTAATTTTGATAATAGGATTGATGTTTGAAGATACTGTCACTATTATACAATGTGCCATGCTTAAGCGCACAAACGATTGGCGACAGTTCGATCGATTAATTTTAAACCCTTTCTATTTAAAAACTACTGTAACCTCGATATATTGATATCAGAAATTTCTCGAATGATTTCGGGAATTTGCTACTAACGAGTATCACGCAAAGTGTCTGGGATATCCTGTTGTTGCAAGACTATATTTTTAATATTTTATTTTTTAATATTTTAAACTATTTTAAAATTATTTTAAAGGTAACAATATTGAAATTCCCGTGACAAATTCAAAAAAATAAATAAAGACAAACAGGCAATTGGGAATTGGCATAGTGACCAGTGCGTAATACGCTTTGAAGAAGACTAGTCTTCTAGTCTTCTTGATTACCACGCAATTATTACGACCGTAGTGATGTCATTTTTTGTAACATCTTATTTATTTGTCTACAACTTTATGGGATATTAAGTATCTCTATTTATTGAAAAAGGCCGAAACATGTACATTTTATTTATGTAAGATAAAGCTTTTTCAAAGCATATTACGCACTGATAACTGTGCCAATTCCCAATTGCCCGTTTATCTTTATTTTGTTGAATTGTAATATTTTATTATTATTATATATTTGTACTATGAAATAGTCTTTATACATCAGGAATTAAAAGATAAGATGTTACCTCGGCAACTTTGATAAATCTCCCACGTCTATTTTGTTTTACGTCAAGGTAGAATCTTTTACTTTGAATTTGCAACATTTTTGTCGCCAGTTCCTGCTCGCTCTGCTGGCCTTGCTGACCTACAACATACACAAATAAGTATATTAATTTATTAAGCAGTTTATTGCACGTTATATGATTCTAAACTAGCAGATTTAAACTCAAAATTGAAGTGAATTGGATTATGTTTATTATTTCACAAAATCATTTTAAAATATTTCTTTTGTTTTTCATCAACATCACATTTCTGGCACGACATCCTATCTAATATTTTATTTAATAAATGAAATACATACGCATAATTTTACTTTTTAATCCAATAGAAATTTTTTTTAGAAATATAAAATAAATATAATTTTATATAAGTAAATAAGTTAATTATTTTTGACGATTAAGTCGCCGCAACTCCATATTGGATCGTTATAAACGAGAAACATTTATAAAAGTTGATTTAATAAGTGTTTAAGTAATCTATCCTAAGAAATTATTATAATTAAAAATGTTTTTTCTCACATACATGCTCCAGTTCTATTTCTATTGTTGTTTCTTTTTCTAATCTTATTGGTTTAACCATAGGCCTTTAATTTTGTGACATCATAAGCAAGAAATAACACATTGAATGCGATTTATAAATAAAGAGAATTTGGATGAAACAAAATAATGAGATTACTTTGAAACATTTGTAAAAATGAGCTAAAATTATCCTTATTATACTCTCTTCCTCTTGGCAATTAGTAAATAATGCTAGAAGATACGTGGAGTGAAAATACGCATAACAGATTTATAAGCCTATTTTTAACATTAGGATTTATTTACTTATTTTATTTACTTGTTTATTTTATTTATTCTTTAATCAAGAACTTTATAGAACAATATTAATAATTATTACTCGATAATTTTCAATTTATTTACTATTTAATGTTCTTAATTTATTCACACTATTTAATCCTTTGAATGATACAAAGGTATATTTATATTTTCAATTCCAGAATAAAGCACCAGTTGTATTTTTATTTTTACTGTTTCAAATTATATTTCTAAGTCTTATTTAAGCCTATTATAATTGTTTGTGTTATCGTATAATAAATTTATAATTATCATTATCATTTTTCATTATCATTACTATTAGAAAAACTTACTAGGAAGGTGTAATCAAACATAAAAAATTACACTATTAAAAAATTAATGTTGTTTTTATTCATATATCCACTGCACTAAACAAAAATTTTTTACTGCATATATTTTTAGATGCATTAAATGTTTATTGCATATAATTGTTGAGTAATTACATTGATAAACACATCCATTTTTACAAATAATTTTTGAATATGTTTTCATAGAGTTTTTAAGGTATTTTTTTTGTAACAATACTAATTGGCTATATTAATCTCATACTCATTTTTAACAGTTATTAACTTTTGAAGAAATATAAATTTTTTAAATTTTTATTGCATACTTTTTAATGCATTTATCTACTTGGCGTATTTTTTTTATCTTTGTAGTCTTTTTATTAGAGAAATCATGAATCAACTTTCAAAAATTAGCTGTCACTAAAAATATTCAATAGCTCAATGTATCTTTTTCTCAATGTGATAAACTTACCAAGAGTAGATCGTATTTAAAAATAATTTTTGTTTGACTATTTTAATTTTAAATTTCTCAAAATTGTGACAAATTATGATGAATTATTTTAACGCCAAAAACTATTAATATAAGAAAATTACTTAATAATTATTCAGTAATTAAGATGCTTATTAACATTGTTAAAATTAACGATCATTGGCTGCGTTCAATACAGAAAAAGCAGCTCTTTGCAATTGTTGAAAGATTTTGTTAAACGGTTGCTAGCGATTTATTATTTTCAAACATGTTACTAAGCAATCATAATTCTTCCCAAAACACATTAAAAATGATCGTACAGCAGAAATCAATGCTAAATATATATATTAAGGCAATATAAATTATAACGTAGTTACTATGATCTTTATACAGTTGACATTATAATGGAAAATTCACTAAAGCTATTTATGATGGATAGAACGTATTTACAATTTGCTTAATAAATATATTGCAAATAAGGCGTTTATAAAAAAATTTTTTAAACTGCATTTGTTTATTAGTAATTTTAATTATGTTGTTATCAAATAGATTAGAATGACATTTTGATTACAATTAAAATTTTAAAATAATTGTCGAAAGGATAAATACAATGATAGTAATTATGATAATAATAAAGCTAATTTTTTTTATATTTACTTTATTTAATTTATTTTATATTTAGAATTAGTTTAAAATGCTGTTATTATATTTTATAATTTTATTTCGTAGAACACTACGCTTAATTACTACTATAATTTTACTAATTACCATTGTAATTTTAGAGAATTCAATAAAATTTTTAAACACTTGAAAATACAGCCTGATGCGCTAACTTCTCTAGTGAATGCAGCTAATGTAATTTATGATATTGTGCAGAATCAATTTATTGTTCAAGTCCAACAAACCGAATCGGCGCGAAGTTTATAGTAGTAAAAAAATGTGTATATATATATATATATACACACACACACACAACACATATATAAGATCCGCTTCGAATAGAGGATTCTTTGTTTATTTGTGTTGTTCATTTATCGTTCCATTTTCCATTTATTACTGTTAATTATTCTCTTTCTTCAGTTAAAAATGTTTTTTTTTTAAATAATTACAAATAGAAGATTAAGATATAATACAAAATTATATTTAAAAAAACAATAATTAAGGATATTTCAGAGATCGATCATACGAAAGGAATTAGAGATTTGTGTCAAAGCCGCACTGAGAGAATAAATAATCGATATAATGTAGTTTTTCGAGTACAATATTACGTACTGAATTGTTGCAGGCCGCTTGGAATTGGAACGGGGCTAAGATCACCCTGAAAAATCCTGCTTTTGAACATTTTATCGATACTATAATCTGTGCACCTGTATATAATATATCTCTCTTTTTCTCCCTTTTTTATTTCTTTAGTTAAAAATTAGACTACATTATTAAGTTCACAGTTCATTGAAATTACATTAACAAATAACCACTGCATTTTTATTCACTTCTTTCTTTTTCTTTCTAACTTCTATTTTAAGCACAATAAATTTTATGTGTAAAATCTTTCATTTCAGAAATCGTTAAACAAATAATTTTGTTCAATATAAAAAATTCTTCTTTTTCAAATTTAGTGTCACTTTTATATAGTCACATTTATGTAAATCGCTAAACAAATTCAGCTTTCATAGACGTAACTCTCGGCCAAAAAAAAAAATATTATTCTTCTGCTTTGAATAATTCGGACATCATGCAGGTTTTTCTCAAATTTTTTTCTTATTAATTAAATCCTCATTCTATTATTATAATAATAAATTCGCTAATAAATCTCTTCATTAGTCTCCTAATGAAAGATGAATCGATCGAACAAATGTATTATCAGACAAGAGAATATCTTCTAATTCTCGATCTCCTTCAGCAGTTATATTCTTTTTCTATAGTTCATTTATCAATTCTTGCTCATCTTCGCATATTTGCGGAGAATGTGTGTGAAAATGTAGTACAAATATACACTTTCACCATTTTGATCCATTTCTTAAAGCAGTCTCTATATTGCATCACATCCAGTCTATCCTCCTTCTTGATACACACCTTCTCGCGTATAAGATGCCTTACGGCTAGATTTTCATCGGTAGTTCAGCATGACTACTGTGTCACATTAATTCGTGTTAATTTCCCTTTTTTACCTGCTATTAGCATCTTTTTGTTCACTCATGACTTTAATGCGATTAGTGTAAACTTCACATTTATTTCTTTTATCTTCTATCGTAAATATTTACATGCACATACACATATCCACATTATTCTTTATTTTGGATAAGTTCATAGAATGTTACATTACGATGTGTGAATACAACTTTAGCTTTTTATTATATCATATTCGTTTTTTCAACTTCCTGCTTTTTTTTCGAAAACGATACGAAAAATGGCAAAGAAGATATTTTGCCGATATCATTGAGTGCTTGATGTCAAGTAATGCTAATTCTATGCGGTGCAATAATTAAATCGAATAGTAAATGAAGCGTGTTCACGCATCATCTTACAATCTTTTTTTTTAATGCTCTTAAGCTCTTTTTTTTTGTCTTTCACTTTCGCTTCGTATCTGTTTCTCTCTTCCAGATTCCGCTCACAATTCTTGATCCTGTTAAATTACCATTTATTACTTTTAGAAATTCGCTGTTTTTCATTGACGCTCTCGACTGCAAAGAACAATTTCAGGAACGTGAAAGACGCCATCACTCGCGATCATTCATGAGAACAGTTTTCAGCAGAAATCCAAATAATGAATAAAATACAATTGCAGAGTGTTTCTCAATCAACAATAAACAAAATTGCTTTAAGAAAATATCTATTCAGTTAATATCTTTTGACCGATATTTAAATCTTTTTTGATCTGCAAAGAAAAACGATTAAATATCGAGAATATTTTCTTTTTCTCTTTCACTTCATTTCTTTGCGCTCTTTTCCCAAGAATCGGCTTAATATACCAACTATATGCATTGACTTGTAATTTCAAGAAGTACAAGTAAAATTTTTACACTATTCAATAAACGATTCTTCAATATGAATCGTCCAATCTCTCATTCGTTTCAATTCTATCAGGTATCAGCACGATCAAGAATTCTTATAAGAACCTTTCTTAAATCAAAATTTGCAAGTCAAGCGATTCTCTTGAACACATTTGAGGATGATCATCCGTGAAATCGCACTTCTTATTACTCTCTTTTTCGTAGTGACAATAAGGAATTTTGGCAACAAACGATTGGCACGGTGTTTATGCAGAAACGCCCACTTCACTTCTCGCCCGCCGACTTGCATTGACATTGCGTTGTATTTCATTGCACGTTTGCACAGGGCGCGAGCATCGCACGCATCACCATCTTGCAAACACGACATGGCGTCATTGTTATCGTCATTTTCAACATTGTCATCATAGTCGTTTTGAACCACTAATAGACTTCAGTCATATCTTTCTTTTCCTTATAATTATCCTTTGCAT